GCGCTCAGGGCTGCGGAGGGCCGCGGCCGCGCCCGCACCCGGAGCCACGGGGGGCTGGGCCCGGCTATTGTCGCCTGTCAGCGGCCGCCCAGGTCCATTCGTCCCGGCCTTCATGGTCCGCGCTCCGAATTACAGACCCATCCATCCTGAGAGAGGGCGATTTATGTCGCCCGAGAGGAACCGGCCGCACGCCGGCCCGGCTGCCTGGCCGTCTCTTTCCTTCTTTCGTTCTCTCCCCTCTCTCCTCTCCCCTCTCTCCTCTTCCCATTCTCATTCTCTCTCTCTCTCTCTCTCTCTCTCTCTCTCTCTCTCTCTCTCTCTCTCTCTCTCTCTTTCCTCTTTCTTTCTCCCCACTGTCTGTGACGATCCACTTTCTCGCTGTGCTTTTGGAGTGTCTTTCTGTGCTCCTTCTTTTTCTGTCCTCTGTCTCTTAGTTTCCTCCCGGACACGCACGTTCCCGACTCAGGCCCTGGGGCCCCATCGCCTGCCCAAGACCAGATGCGCATTTCTCACATCAATTTTGCGGAGAAAAGAGGGCTGAGCGGCCTGGAGGCGGGACCCTCCTCTGGTGACAGCAGCCACTCGCCAGCCCAGCGACAACAAAAGCCCAGAGAGAAACCCGCTCAGTTCCGAAAAGTGAAAGCAGCCTACGTCCTTTACCCCAGCCCCCTCGTGGTGCAGGAACCCGGGAGAGTCCTTGGGAGATTGATGTCTCTGCCCCCAGCCCAGTTAGGGGCCCAGAATTTGTGAATATCACCAGGTATTCATCCCAGCTCTCAAAAGGTTCCAGGCCAACATCTCCCTGTGCCCGTGTGTGCAATTCAGCCTGTCCTTGGTGCCTTCGGCCTCATTTTTATCCCTCCCGCAAGGGTGAGGCCCTTCTGCGGAACCGAAACTCGGGAGCCCTTAGCTTCCACCCCGCTGTCGGGCTGATCTATACCTGCCGTACACCGGACCAGGGAGCCCGGTACCAGGGAGCGCAGGAAGAATGTCCTTGGGTCCCGGGTGGGATGCACGAACCGTAGGGCAAGTCCTTCTCCACCCTTTGCCCCACACAAATTAATTTTTCACTCGTGGCGTCCCCAACGTACGCACTCATTTGTGCCCAGCAGTGCACGCCTCACTTTTTACCCGGACCTGGCGAAGACCGCTTCTCTCCCTACCCCCAACCCCATTTGGAGGCTACTGCGTGTTTGTGAGCGAGAAGCGCCTCCTCCTCCTACTTCCCCTCACCCCTCATTCTCACGCCTGCCCTGAAACTCCTCCAAATCTCTAAGGCCCGTGCAGCCGGCGACGAGCAGTGGGGAGACACCGAGTCTGCCGCGGCTTCCCTGAATAGGGCCCTCTCAATCAGACACGGTCACCGCCGCTTCTAGTAAAATGGCAAAGACTTTATTTATCGGAGAAAGAGGCCTTGGGTACAGTCCGGGGAGGAGAAGGCAGGGCAGGAGCAGGAAGGGGGTACGCGGGACTCACCCTCATTTGGCCACCCTTGTCTGGCCAGGTCGAGCTAGGAGCAGGGCGTTGGAGACTGACAGCAAGACAGACCCAGAGCTGTGAAGGAGGTGGGGTGAGGGCTTAGGTTGGCCTCCTCTCAGTCTCTGTCACATGCAAAAAAATTCTAAAAAGAGTAAAAAATAATTCTAGGGCTTTGGGTTCGTCTTTCGTTGGTTGGTTGGTTGGTTGGTTGGTTGGTTGGATTCCCCCCTGCTTTGTCTCTAAGGCTGGAACCCCAGCAGTTAGTCCAAGGAAACCGAGAGAGGGTGGGGAGATACCTTAAAAATAGCGTTACTGAGCATTGGGAGGCAGAAATGCTATCGAAAACGGACTTCTTTTGCGAAGGGGAAAAAAAGATCGATTTGGAACTTGTAAGTCAGGACCCAGTTGCCCACCTCAGCCCCTTCCCACGCGGGGGGGAAAAAAGGCAGAAGGAAATAAAAGAAGTCAACTGCAATAGGCCTAAAGAGGTGAGGAGGGAGAGGGCCGGTGCATTCGCCACATGCAGAGAAAAATCAAAACAGTAGGGGCGGCCCCCTCCTTCAGACCGCGGGATTCAGTGTTCAGTTACCCTAGATTCTGCCTCGCCCTCAGCAAACCCGGAAGCTTAAGAGCTTTGAAAACATGAAAATCTCCGAGATTTAAAAAAAAAGTCAGCCTGCGGTGGTAAGAACCCGCTATATAGGTTTAAATATTTATACAGAAGCCCTACAGAACTGCACGGAAAGGGCTCCCGGGGCGGCGGAGGCCGCGCGCAGCGGTCGGCCGGCCGGCCAGCCCGGGTTTATTGCTTCGAGAGGGAAGAGGCGGCTGCTGGGAGCCGAGTCCGGGCCAGGGACAGGGGAGAAGGCGGGAGTTGTAGAGGAGGTCCCAGCTCCCCTCGGCGGTCCGGTCCGGGAGGTGGCGGGCCTATGGGCTCCAGGAACCCTGGGCGGCGGAAGATACCAGGCGCCGCTCAATCGTCCACGTCGATCTCTTCGTCTTCCTCATCCTCCGAGCAGTCCTGGCTGCTGGCTGGCTGGTCCGTGAGTGGGGAGGCGGGTGAGAGCTGCAGGGGCCCGGCGCCCGGAGCCTGCGGGGCGCCTGGGGGGAGTGCCGGAGAGCCAGGCCTCGACTTGGCCCTGCCACAGCCGCCGCCGCCCGCGGCCTCCGAGTTCTGCTCCAGTTCGGCCAGCGCTACGATGTCCATCTGCCCGCTGGGGCCCAGTTTCTTGGCGGACTCCACATCGGCCTTCATCTCCTCCAGGTCCCGCTTGAGCTTGGCTCGCCGATTCTGAAACCAGGTGATGACCTGAGCATTGGTGAGGCCCAGCTGCTGCGCGATTTGGTCGCGATCGGCAGGGGACAGGTACTTCTGGTAGAGGAAGCGCTTCTCCAACTCGTAGATCTGGTGGTTGGTGAAGGCCGTGCGCGACTTTCGCCTCTTTTTGGGGGTCTGCCGCTGCCCGAAGATGGTCATCCCATCTCGGCCTGCGAGGAAACCATAGTATAGGCTTGCACCAGGGGAAAAGAGACTACCCCGGCTCCCGCTCATGCCACCCAGGCCCATCCAGCCTGCAGCCTGCCGCTGTTCCCTCCTCAGATTTGATTTGGCTTGCCCGACTAAGGCAAGCTTTAGTTATAGCAACTCCCCTACCTCAGTCTCTGGTCTACCAAAAGTCCCTAGGAAAAATTGTTTTGATTTCTGCCATCCCATCCCTGTAAGAGTCGTTTTGAAAAATTCGAGGTTGCTGGAGGAGGAGAGAGCCAGTCAGGGACACCCTGACTAAGATGTCAGTGTCGGTATTCCACCTCTTCCCAACCACCCCAACTCTTACTCAAAAGTTCTCAGCAAAGGACTCTCCATTTCCTACCCCAGGAACAGGGCTAAGAGTGGCCAAACCACTGGGAACGGGAGGGAGCCAGACAGGACAGGCAGACTGCAGAGAGCTTGGGTTCCCGCCACCCCTCCCCACTCTGGCCTATCCAAAGGTCCCCAGGAAATAGGGTTTGGGTCCTGTCCCACCCATCTCCACTCCCAGCGGCAGCGGCTTGAGCTGGAGGGCCCTGACTGCCGGCACGGGAGGAAGCGAGCAGAGGCACAGGGTACGACGAAGTGCATTGGGCACCGGAAGCAGGGCTCTGGGGGCTGGGTGCAGGGGAACCCAGCGGCGGCACCTACCTTCGGCTGCCTGCAGGACGCTGACCTCCAGCCCCTTAAAGGTCTTGCTGGCGAGCTCCTCCAGCGCACACAGTGGCGAGGTCTGCGAGAGCAGCGCGCGGCCCGCCAGGGGCAAGCCGCCCGGCGCGTGCTTGTCAGCGGCCGCCAGCAGGTGCGCCGCCCCGCACAGCGAGTAACTTCTTCTCACAGACGGCTTGTTGAGGATGTCCTCGATGCTGAACGGCGTCAGCGGCTTGTTGGAGTGGGCGGGCGGCGGCAGGTGGTCCAGCGGGCTGCGCCGCCGCTCCTCCCCCGGCGCCGCCTTGCCGTCCTCCTTGGAAGTCATCTCGGCCTTGTTTGGGGGCCGGGCCGGAGCGGCTCGGGCCGCGGGAACCCAGCCCGCGGGCAGTTCGGGCGCCGGGCGGCCTGGGCGGGCGGCAGCGGAGGGTG